AAAGGCAAAGGCAAGGATGACTGTTTCTTCTGGGCAGATTTAATATTTTAAATGTTGTTCTTAGCCGCCATGAGTCAGCCCCTGACTCGTGGCAACTCGATGTTTGATGGATTGAAACGCTGCCTGGTCCTGCGCCATCCCCATCATCGGTTGCTGATTGAACCTTTATGATCCATGGGGTTTTCACTGGCTGATTTTTGAAGTAGACTACAAGGCCTTTCTTCCTAGTACAACTTAGTCTGGAAGCTCTGCAGAAACCTGTTCAGCATCGTAGCAACACACAAGCCTCCACTGACAGATGGGTGCTGGCTTCCCATGAGGTGCACTGGCTGTGAATCAAATGTGGGTCTCCCACATGGAAGGAGAGAATTCTACCACTGAACCACCTCCCCCCAATATTTTGAATAGTCTATTAAAAATTTAAAATCACCTCTTCGTCATGAAGTAAATATACATGAAATGAGACAGACTTCTTAAATGAAAACAAGGGTGTACTTTCCCTTCCTGGTGCTTCTACCCACATGCCTGGTGGGTAAAGAGGCAAGAACAATAAGCTCACAGGTGATGTTGGAATTTGTGAGGTGCAAATAACTGCAAGAATCTAACCCTGTGAGGAAGAGGGGGCTGGAGGCCCTGCAACGGGCATCTCCTAGGGCCCCTCCTGCCACTCCCATCTAACAGCTGCTCCTGGTGAACCTGCTCAACTTTTATGACAGATCATTGTTATAGACTGAATTGTGTCCCCCCAGAGTATGTGCTGGAATCCTAACCCCTATACTTGTGGATGTAATTCTATTTGGGAATAGGGCTTTTCTTTCGTTATGTTAATGAGGCCATACTAGTATAACATGGGTCCTAAACCTAATCACTTCTGAGTGATAAAAAGATCAGATTAGACACAGACATACATACACAGAGGGAAAGACAGATGTCATGTGAGGATCGTCTACAAGCCAAGGAACCAATGAACATCCAGGGCCACTGACAAGGAAAAACATAGCTGAGTTACTGATTTGAACTTCTAGCCTCTAGAACTGTGAGAATATAAACTTCTGTTCTTTGAAGTCACCCACCTGTGTTATTTGTGTTACAGCAGCACTAGGTAACTAATACAGTCACCATGCAGTTAACTATTTAAAACTGTATGCTACTACACACCTATTAGAATGGCGAAAATACGAATGGAAATCGGGAACCCGAGGTCAAGAGGAGGAGAGTGTTGACACATCGTGGGGCTGACGACCCATATCACAAAGCAATGTGTGTATTGTTTAATGAGAAACTAATTTGCTCTGTAAACTTTCACCTAAAGCACCATAAAATACGTAAATAAATAAAGTTCCCCAAGGCAAGGGAAAGTGTTTAATTCAAAACTTCTGTCAAGATAAAAACTGTTCTTTTCAAAAATAAACATTGCTCAGAATTAAAAAAAAAAAAAAAGAATGGTGAAAATAAAAATATACTGCCAATATAAAGAGCTGGTGGAGCAACCAGAACTGTCATACACTGCTGGTGGGAATGTAAACTGGTACCAGCACTTGAGAAAACAGTTCAGCAGTTTCTTATAGTTAAACACACACTTAGCACACAACCCAGCATCACACTCCGAGGTACTTATGAAAGAGAGAGAAAAACGTATATTCACACAAAAGCCTGTATAGGAATGTTTATAGCAGCTTTGTTCATGATTGCCAAATACTGGAAACAACTCAACTGTTCTTCAATGGGTGAATGTTAAATAAACATCATATAATGGAATACTACTCAGCAATAAAAAAGAACAAGCTACTCATACATGCAACGACTTAGATGAATCTCAAAAGCATTATGTTGAGTGAAAGAAACCAGCTGCAAAAAGTTGTGTACTGAAACCTAGGTGCCCATCAACAGATGAATGGATAAACAAATTATGGTATATCCACCCGATGGAATATTACCCAACGATAACAACGATGAAGCTGTGAAACATCGTATAACATGGTGGAAGCTGGAACTTATTACGCTGAGTGAATTTAGTCAGTCACAGAAGGACAAATACTGTATAAGACCACTATTATAAGAACCCTAGAAAAGGTTTAAACACAGAAGAAAATATTCTTTGATGGTTACAGGGGTGGGGAGGGAGGGCAAGGGTTATTCATTGACTAGATAGCAGATAAGAATCATCTTAGGCAAAGGGAAGGACAGCACACACTACAGGGGAAGTCAGTACAACTGGACTAAACCAAAGAGAAGAAGTTTCCTGAATACAGTCAAATACTTTGAGGAGACAGAATAGCAGGGGTAGGGATCTGGGGACCATTCTTTCAGGGGACATCTAGGTCAACTGGCATAACAAAACTTATTAAGAAAATGTTCTGCATCCTACTTTGATGAGTGGTGTCTGGGGTCTTAAAAGCTTGCAAGCAGCCATCTAAGATGCATCACTCGGTCCCAACCACCTAGAGTAAAGGAGAACGAAGAACATCAAAGACACAATGGAAGTATTAGCCCAAGAGACAGAAAGGGTCACATAAACCAGAGACTTTATCAGCCTGAGACCAGAAGAACTAGATGGTGCCCGGCTACCACCAATGACTACCCTGACAGGGAACACAATAGACAGTCCCTGATGGAGCAGCAGAAAGATGGGGTGCAGAACTCAAATTCTAGCAAAACGACCAGACTTAATGGTCTGACTGAGACTGGAGGTACCCTGGAAAGCATGGCCCCTGGACTCTCTATCAGCCCAGAACTAAAACCATTTCCAAAGCCAACTCTTTAGACAGGGATTAGACTGGACTGTGGGACATAAAGTGATACTCGTGAAGAGTGTGCCTCTTAGTCAAGTAGATACAAGAGACCAAAGCTGCACCTTCTGTCCAGAGGTGAGATGGGAAGGCAGAGAGGGTTAGGAGCTGGTTGAATGGACATGGGGAATCAGGGACAGAAAGGAGGAGTGTGCTATCGCAGAATGGGGTGAGCAATTAGGGTCACATAACAATTTATGTACAAAATTTTGTATGGGAGACTAACTTGAAATGTAAACTTCATTTAACTACAACAATTTAAAAAAAAAAAAGTTGTGTACTGACCAGATTTACTTGTCTGATAGAGACTAGAGGAACCCCCGAGATTATGGCCCTCAGTCACCCTTCTAACTTGGAACTGAGGCCACTCCCAGAGATCATCTTTCAGCCAAATAATAGACAGGTCCACAAAATAAACAATAACCCCTATGAGACAAGTGCTCCTTAGAATAAACAACTATATAAAACCAAAAGGGCAACATTTGCGCAAAAGCAAAGATGAGAAGGCAGGAAGGGGCAGGAAAACCAGACGAATGGAAACGGGGATCTCAGGGCGGAAGTGGGGGGATTGCTGACACATTGCAGGGATTGCAATCAATGCCAGGAAACACTTTGCGTATAAACTATTGAATGGGAAACTAATTTGTTTTGTAAACTTTCACTTAAAACACACACACACTCTCACACACACACACACACACACAAAATAATGGTACGCTTAAAAAAAAAAAGTTGTGTACTATATATAAAGTGAAACAGAATTATCATATGACCCAGCAATTCCACTCCTAGGTATATACTCAAAAGAATTAAAAGCAGAGACTCTAACAGATATTTCTAGCCCAATGTTCATTGTAACATTATTCACAATAGCCAAAAGGTGGAAACAAATCAAGTGCCAATCAACAAAGGAATAGATAAAATATGGTACATACATACAATGGAATATTATTTGCCATAAAGAGAAATGAAGTTCTACTACGTGAAATCCCTTGAACAAATCTTGAACACATTATGCCGAGTGAATAAGTCATACATAAAAGGACAAACAATGTATGGTCCCACTTATATGAAATACGTAGAACAGGCAAATACAAATGAGAAGTTATTGTTTAATGGGTACTGAGTTTCCATTTGGGGTGATGAGAAATACTGCCTTGCTTGAGCTGCTGGACTGGGGTCACACAGAGTGGGTGTCCTGTGGAGTACCTTCAGGCGTGGGGCCAGGGGAGCGGGGAGAGACAGGGGATGCAGACAGGAAACAACACAGCAACTAGCTATGATCAGTTTCCCACAACAGCATCACACGAGCAGAGCTTGCAGAGAAAAAGAGTAAATTATTGTAAAAGCAAGTCCTATAATCAATCATATCTGAGTGACTCTGGTTCCATTTTATCCATTCATATAATTAGTCGTGACAGTTCCAACAGTAAAAAATGGGGTGTATGTGTATAAGATAGAAGGAGGAGGCCAGCAGGGAGAGCAGGAAGAGAGGCTGAGGCAGTGGTGGTTCAGTGGTAGAATTTTCGCCTTCCATGAAGGAGACCTGGGTTCTTTCTCAGCCAATGCACCTCATGTACAGTCACTACCCATCGGTCACTGGTGGACTGTGTGTTAACTATGATGATGAACAGGCTTCAGAGGAGCTTCCAGACTAAGACGGACAAGGAAGATCTACTTTCAAACATCAGCCTATGACAACTCTATGAATTACAAAGCTCTGGTCTGCATCCGATCACGGGGATGACACGGGACCAAGCAGTGTTTCACTCAGCTGTGCATAGTCACCATGAGTCAGAGGCTGACTGGACAGCAGATAAAAACAACAATGAAAGAGAGAGAGAGAGACCAGAGGGAGACAAGTAGAAAAGCAGAGGTAAGTCAGAGAAATAGAGAGAGGAAAGAAGCACACGTGTTTAAAGATTAACATAACACTCAGAAAAAGAGAACTCATAACAAAGATGAAACCAAGATAGTGATGAAGCTGAAGATTTGGGGACACTCTTGCAAATCAGGTGGCACCACACTCATGGAAGGTGCTCTTTAGAACTTAATGCACTGCAGGTAAGTCTCAGGGCATTCGGTACACTCTTGCTCAAACCCTGCTGAGCAAAATCACTTCCCCACCAGGCTCCAGGGCTCCCATCCTGCTGTCCAGCTGGAAGGAAGCATCCCCACCCATGGCCTCTGCCTGTCACAGCCAGCACTTACAGTTCTAAAATCAGAATGACGTCTGTCTTGTTCTCGTAGACCTCATGCAGGGTGATGACGTTGGGGTGCTGGATCTCCTTCAGGATGCTGACCTCCCGCTCAATGTCCTCGCGGCTCACGCCCCGCCGGCTGGATTTTGTCCTCCTTTTCTTGATAAATTTGGCGGCGTACTGGAGACCGGTGCTTTTCTCCCGACATTTCTTCACGACTGCAAACTGTCCGCTGAAGGGAGAAAGCAGAAGGTCAGTGGTCGTTTAGAGATTCTTTATTGTTCTCTAAAAAAAATAGGGTTGGAGTGTGAGTGTGGCCTTGAGGGACAATGGAATTGCGAACAGGAGTTCCAGTTGTGAGAAATGAACAGACTAAGCAGGGATGCTTCTTCTCATATCTGTTTTCTTAAGCCCATTTCCTAACAAATAATGACATAGGAATAAAAATTCTTGTCTTCAATTATATTTTGTGAAATGGGTCTTAATGTCTGCATTTCTGTCCCCTCCCTCCCATTCTGAATTCGAGTGCTCCTTCATCTGACCCCACCGCCATCAGCTCTTTCCCTCTGTCTAGTCTTAAAGCTAGGAAGAGAAGAAATGGAGACCAGGGCTTAGGTAGAAAAATATATAGGGCCCTACCTTCAATGACATATTTCTAGTACCAAACACCCAGAATAGAAAAAGCTTCATATTTTTTTGTCCACAATTCAGAGACCAGGTAAGCCCTGTGTACCAGACATTTGCTTCACTTTTCCAGCAGCCACTTCCCTGCCACTTGCTTCCCAACAATATCTATCCCTGGGGATCCTTGTGCTTCTGGGGAAGCTGACTCCACCCCCAACTATAGACATGGACCATGTGACCTGTGCTAAGCCTATCAATGTACTGTATTCTCCTTGCTCCAGTGACAGACCTAAGTTCACACCTTTCAGAGTGAATATCAAGATTTTGTGGTGAATGCAGACACAAAGCCTTTTCCTGATACTCTTTTTCCCTTCTGGATCTGAACATGGAATTATATAACCTGGAAGCTGCTGGCAGTCATCTTGGGATCATGAGGGGAGACAGTCTTAGGAGAAGCCAACCACTACAGAGGTAGAGTGGGTAGACAGAAAGAAACCAGCTCTGTGGTAACACAATGGAGTGGCTGGATCAACCTCACCTGAAACCATCTAATGGTGGATTTTTAAATAACATAAGCCAAAAAATTCCCTTTACAACTGTGATGGTTAATTTTATATGTCAACTTGGCTAGGCTATGGTGCCCAGTTGTTTAGTCAAGCACTAGTCTAGTTGCTGTTAGGAAGTAGTTGCATGTGATTAAATACATTGGCCTCAAGTAAAGTGGATTAAAAGAGCCTTGGTGTCGAAGTGGTTAAGAGCTGGGCTGCTAACCTAAAGGTTGGTGGTTCGAACCCACTAGCTGGTCCACCAGAGAAAGATGTGGCAGTCAGCTTCCGTAAAGATTACAGCCTTGGAAACCCTATAGGGCAGTTCTACTCTGTCCTATAGGGTTACTATGAGTCAGAATCGACTCAACGTCAACGGGTAAAGTGGATTACCTTCCATAATGTGGATGGGCCTCAGTCAATCAGCTGAAAGCCTTAAGAGCACAGAGGGAGTTTCCCTAGGCTGTGTTTTGTCCCCAGACTATAAACAGACATTTTGGCAGAACACTCTTACTCGTCACTCTTCTCACTGACTAACTTGTGGATTTGGGGACACAAGAAGTCTTCAGCCTATTGCCTGACCTATAGATCCTGGACTTGCCGACCCCCACAATCGTGTGAGCCGTTTCCTTGAAGTAAATCCCTATCTATCTATATATTTGTTTTGTTTTGTTTGTAACTAGTTCTGTTTCTCTAGAGAACCCTGAGTAAGACAACAGCTAAAGCCAGTTTGATTTGGATTTTCTATTTCTTTTGGAAGAAAGCATCCTAAATGACACAGCATGTAACCAGAGCTTCTTCCCATTTCTAAAATAGGATAATAACAGAAATTGACACAAAATAATAAGGTGAATACATAAGCAAGTGAGATCTCAAAAGGTAAGCAGGCTACCCTGCAAATAGGCGGCACACACGGAAAGACCCTTCCGTGACGATGCCGGCACCCTCCCCTCTTCCCTCGTACCCAAGGAAGAGCCCGCCCGCCCATCCCAGAATCTGTACATTCCACGGCACCTACTGGAGAATGGCTATGTATAGAATTATCGCAGTTATTTTTAGCTAGCTTTAGTCTCCTCACATGAAGGCAAAAAGGGGAGAGAAAAATCAAATTAAGGATAATATTTTGATGTTAAAGAATGGATACTCTGAAATGTTACTCAGGTACTTCAGCAGTGGGAGACCAGCAAAGAAAAAACAAATAGTGAAGGATTATTTTTAGAGCAGTGTCACATTTTTTGCATGACAGTTATTAATACCCTGTTTCCCCCCTGCCGCGGCAAAGCAGAGAAACAAATACAAAATCACCCTGGAATGCTCGCACCAATGCCTATAAACTCACTACCTTAAAGAGCTGCGGGATCTAGGTTGCCACTTTATTGCAACCATTTCCAATTTCTCTGGGGAGTGAAGAAATGGGCTCTTCCTCTGTTATGGATTTAAATGTCTCAACAAGATAAGCTAAAGTTCTCAACTCTGGTACCTGTGAATATGACCCTGTTTGGAAGTAGCATCTTTGAAGATGTTAGCAGTTAACAAAAGATCATACTGGAGTAAAAACCAAACCCAAAACCCTTGCCATTGAGTTGATTCTACAGAGAGTAGAGCTGCTCCATTGGATTTTCTTTGCTGTAATCTTTACAGAAGCAGATCACCAGGCCTTTCTTCTGGATGGGTTCAAACTGCCAACATTTCGGCAAGGACTGGAGTGCTTAACTGTTTGCTCTACTTTGCATGCTGGATTCTGAATTCCTCTCCGCCAAACCCCACCACCCAACAACAATAATAACTGAATTCATTTATGTGCTTATTTTTGGCAAGCGCTTCTATATCGTGGGCCCCCAGAGTAACAAAATGACACAGCTTGGAGGGTGAGCTCAGACCCGGGGAGGAAAGTAAATGCAGAAAGAAGCCGCACCACCACCACCACCCACTTGGGCATTGCTCTCTCTTCAGCGCTCCCTGCCTCTTGTAAACACACTGAAGCTAGTCAGTAATTAACATGGATACAGATGGCTGCAGCTACAGTTCAGCTGTTCCATGGGAGGGGGAAATGTAGCTTCTTTATTGGCAAGCAGAAATTCGCGGTATACGAAGAATTTCTGTATACTATGATATGGCCAGGCTAGAAGCCCTGGGGGTGCAACAGTTAAGTGCTCAGCTGTCACCCAAAAGGCTGGCTGTTTGAACTCACCCAGTAGCTCCACAGGAGAAAGACCTGGCAATCTGCTCCCATAAAGATAACAGCCTAGAAAACCCTATGAGGCAGTTCTCTGTCACATGGGGTCGATATGAGTCAGAATCAACTCGACAACACCCAGTAATGACAACAGTTGTTAGGCACACATAATGATGATGAGACATAACCCTTGTGTTAAAGGAGCTTTATACTAAAAGATGGCATTAAAAACAATTAATTAAAATTACATAATTCTTAATGAATTATTTAAAAATAATTAACATAATGAATTTTTTTAAATTACATAATTAATAACAAATTTTGTTAAAAAGAGGAGACTCTTGGTTAAAAGAAACAAAGCTTTATTAAGAACAACATTCCATCTAATTTCATTGTCTGACTTACCACTAGTCTCTAATTTGATTGGTACCCTTGTAGTTACTAAATGAACCATGACCAGGATTATATGCCAGGCTCCTTAGACACGTTACCTTATTAATAATCACAACTCTATGAGATACACATCCTTGTCCTCTCCTCTATCAATAAGAACACCAAAGTCTCAGAGAGATTTTAAAAACCACACCAAATCATTCTCCATAATTGAGAAATAAATCCAAACGGAAGTATATTTGCCTCCAAAGCTCAATTCACTGAGCCACATGGCTGTGTGGATCTTGTGATCATTTTCTGTGATGTACAAATCACCCTGCCTGTGAAGTGACAGAGAAGATTAGCATATAATTCTAGGAAAGTCTTCTGTAAGAGGAAGACAGAGGGAGGGGGTTTATGGTTACCTAAGTTTGGGTAATGTTGCCTTCTCCTATTGAAAATTCATGAAATGTTTTAATTAACACCATCACTTTGACATGCTCTGAGATGCTGTGCAATAATAAGTAAGCTCTGTGAGCACACATACGCATGCAGGCATGGTGGCACAATGGTTAAGTGCTGGGCTGTTAACTGAAAGGTTGGCGGTTCAAATCCATGGGAGAAATCACCACCTGGTGATCTGCTCCTGTAAAAATTAAAACAACAACAACAAAAAAAGTTCTGTTGCTGTTGAGTTGATTCTGACTCATAGAGATCCTATAGGACAGAGCAGAACTGCCTCATAGGGCTTCCAAGGCTGTAATCTTTACGGAAGCAGACTGTCACATCTTTCTTCTGTGGTGCAGCTGGTGGATTCAAACCGTCGACCATTTGGTTAGCAGCCCACGCTTTAACCGCTGTGCCACCAGAGCTCCTTCCTGTAAAGATTACAGTCTACAAAACCCATGGGGAAGTTCTACTCTGTCACATGGGGTCACTATGAGTCAAAATCAACTCAGTGGCACCTATCAACAACAACAATACTAATAATTGGAGCCCCTGGGTGACTGAAACAGTTAAGCGCTCTGCAACTAACCAGAAGACGGTGGCTGCAGCCCACCCAGAGGTATCCTGGAAGAAAGCCTGGTGATCTATTTCAAAAGAATCAGCCACGAAAAACCCTAGGGAGCACAGTTCTACTCAGTTCTACTCTGACACACCTGGGGTCACCATGAGTCAGAATTGACTCAACAGCAACTGGTAATATATTTTGTAGTGGATTAAAAACAAACTTGAACTTTTTTTAATCCAGCCAGGTTTTACTTTCAAATCTATTTATTTGTGGGAGTCTTATTTGCTTGGGGGAAAGATGGTACGGGCATTCAGCTTCTGAGAGGATGTTGCATTCAGAAGGGAGGAAAGTGTAATTTGGAAAGTGTAATTTGTTGGACATGATTTGTGCCTCACGGGTTGGAACCAAACCAAGCGTTTAGCATTTTCATTGTTGATCTTGAACCAGAGGGCACTATATGAGAATAGGCTACCACCCGAGATAGGTGCAGATTTTTTTAAAAA